TTTACATAGGTAGGCATAAAATGAAAAGGGTGCACTTTGATCGCTCGTGTTAACGGTCAGGTCTTCTAGAGCAACGGCTGCACCATAGTGAATAGTATCCTGGTGATTTGTATCCAGTCAAGGAAGCAAAGTTTTATTAGAATATTTTACACTTGGTTTCCGTTGACTTAAATGTTCGAGTCCAAAAAATAGATGGGGGATATTGCGCAGTATCTCAGCTCTTTTGTTCAAAAGATCCTAGTGACTGGAAATCGTTTGAACAAAGAATCTGTCGGACCATTCTTGCCCAGCCGATATAAGCACGGTAATTAAGGTAAATTGATGTTCAGGAAAAAGGCAAGAGCCGTTTTAATGGCCTTGCCAACCGCAAGCGTCTGCGTTTTGTGGACGATTAACTGTTTTCCTTCATTTTGTAGAAGCCTGTTTGATTTTTGAAGAATAAAAACATTATCGTTGGCTGATAAAATTTATCAAATTGCAGTTCCGTTAACTGGTATTCCAAATGGTATGCAAGCGCTTCCATTATTGCGATTCGGATGGAACCAAGGCAAATTTACGCTCAAAATACGTGGGTACACGGCAATAAAGGTAAGCATCGAAAAAGCAATGAGATCAGACAGCAGGATTTAAAACTTATTCTCTCTCACTTTACGATGCCAAGATGATTATGAGACTTTTCAAATTTGCTTCATCGGAACTGGTGACTTTGGCGGAATGTGATGGACAATGCGAGAGGGACATGTGAACATTACTGGCTTCTTTCGTTGCATAACCGTTGCTAAATACATACAACGCCTCAGAGATACCAAATTCATATCTATTCCGATTTACTTGTTAGATCTCAGTACACCAGCAGTTTTGGTGCACCGTGTGCAGGACATATGGACAGACCTCTTTCGAGGCGGATACAGAGCATTACCCTACCTCACTGTGGCACGGCACTGTCAAGACGGTCTGCAGCTCAACTCTTGGGTACCTGTAAGTATCAGACATCGTATCCAGACAAGGGACTCATTTAGGGCGCGCTACATGACTCAGGAAGCGTGTGCTGGCCATTGTGATCAAAAGCTGCAGCCAGAATTGTGCAAACAGAAAGCGATTATGCAAAGCATTATCTTCCCATGACCATAGACCAATCAGCTGACTTTTGACTCATCGATCTATTGTGGCTGTACGTTCAATGCTGCCCACTGATGGCGCCATCGCAAAAACTTGACATAGCATGGCTGTGTGTACGCTAGCACTAGTTTAGTATACTGCAATAATGTAAGTAATAATTACAGTTGCCAAGCGATTTCCTCGCAACTATGCTTGCATATCAGAAGCAAAAGACGGTTATGCATAGCATAGCGTATTACTATAGAGTACGAGCCGGAAGACTGCAGTATTGATCAAAAACCAATGAGCCCACCTATATCATCATTGGTACATATGGTGTACTTTTCATGTAGTGTTTGTCCGTACAGTTCCTTTATTATCTGGTCTACAGGGATGGCAGAAAGCTAAGACTACATTATGTTGCAAAGCAACGAGAAACGGAGACACGGTTGAGGCCGAGCAAAACATTTGTTCAGGAATCACTTCATTTATATCTCACACGGAGTGCTCTGTACAGAGGGGAGAAGGTATAATAACTGTTCAAAGAAAGACTGCGAAATGTACTAGCTAGTGTACATCCGAAGCATTTGGTGGCAACCTATCTGGAGAAAGGTTTTAATCCACGCCTAAGTCCAAAACGGGTTGGATGCTGACAGTCGGTGATCCAGGTAGAGATCTTTTAGAGGTCCTTCGCACGGCACTCAATAAAAAGTAAACCAGCTTAGTTTTACGAAGTGACAAATACTTTCAAAGAAACTGTTGCATTTAAACCATTTCCTTTCTATAGACTGTAAATTTCAGATCGCACGTACATAGGCCAAACCATGAGAGAATTGCGCACGAGAATTGCGCGACACAGGCAACGTATGTCAAGGCCGCCAAGGAACGAGCTTGTACGTAGAGTCCTGCTTAGTCATTCGGCACTCCTGGTGTATGTACTAAACTTTGAAACTGTCGAGATTGGCATGAGTGATATGCCATTCATTCCACAAGTGCTAACTACTGGCACGGTGAAAACCAATACATCTGACAACTGCATGCTTGTGGTAAGTGGACTGGGGTCGCTGTGTAATTGGAGTACATTCTTAACCAGGCTATTTTGATCAGCGTCGACTCATGACCCGAAATTGAGATTATTTATCAACTACAAACTCAGTACCAAGAGAATGGGTATCAACGCAATTTTCTCTGTCATTTGACCAATTTCCACTCCGCGGATTACCCAGAACAATAGCTCGATACACGTGTGTAGTGATCCTCTGACTGACACAATCTTTGCTCGGAACACATTGGTAACCATGTGCTTCTCTATTGTGAGCTATACCAAATTTCCTTGTCTGGTCTTTCAAACACATAACATGTGGACTAAGGCAGCCTACGGAAACTAGACCTGCTATGTAGACAACAAATACTGTAATTAAGTTATTTGACGACATTTATTCCAGACCTTATCATTTAAACTAGCTAATAGTGCTTCCATAGAAAAGCGATACTCCTTTCCTATTCAACTTGCTTTTTGCACCTGGGCATGATCTGTCACATTTCAGTCGATTTCGAAACTACAAACAAACACACGCGCTGCTGCGAAGTAGGCAACCAAAACATCTAAAAATAACTATGACATTAAGTTTTCCGACTCTGTATCGGTGTAGCAGACAACCGATCTTACCCGTCAGTTTGAGATCTCAGTGTTTCTCGACGTTGAACGCACTGCTGATGAGGCGTGTTGGATGTTGTTCGACTGGCTGACTGTACGCAAATCTATAACGAATTCGTCCTCCTGGGATGTTTTCGCATACGATATTCTCTTGTGGGTGGTATGGTTTCCTTATAAACAATGAACAATGAAGTTATACGGGTTAAAAAGGACTGCTTTACAAGTCTTGTTAAGTAGTTTGCTGAGGTTACCGAAAAAACACTAACAACAATGTTACTGCTTAAGTATGAAACGTAGGACGTTGGTTCCGCTGTATTTATGCAGGCTGCGTAAATTCACAGCATCCACAGTTAAGAACAAGTAAATCCAAGATAAAATCCAGGAGTAGATTGGAGACATAGTGCTAAGTAACAAAGTGTAACTGGGTGAATGCGCAATCCAACCATCTTTTAAATATTTTCACTGTCGGTGCAGAAATGACCGATTCAGCAAGATTATTGCAGGGTAAGATAGACAAATATAAAAGAACTTGCTGCAGCACTTCAGACGGCTATACGGTTCTGCGAGTTTCAATGATTGACCTCTCAGGATTTATTGCCACTGAATGCAGCAGGAGCAGCACAGTAATGGTCGTGAGGTAAGTAGGCCTTTACCAGATCGACGGCACTTCGAAAGCAACACAATTTTCTATTTACGTTGTTCTGCACCTCGAAGAAAAATGAAAGCGCTTGCAAAAAGGCGGGTTTTATGGAGTTTTTGAGCAATGGTGAATATTCAGTAAAAACAACATTGCTACGCTGAAACATTAAAACCTGAAAAGGAATTATCAAGCACAGCATTTATGAAGACCTACATAAAGTTCTAAACCCAAGAACTTCAACACCAACTTGAAACAGCAGCGGGCTAGCTTTACGAAAGATGAGAAAAAGATGTCGCTTCCGTTACTGTAATCCAAGTAATCAGTCGACTTATCTCCGTTACTGGGAAAATGTACACTAAAATGGACACTGTATGGTAAATTATTGTCATAACGGTTAACATTTGGATTAAAAACTTATCTTCATTTAACTATGAACAACGTAATTTTAAAACTACGGTTCAGGACCACATCATTACGGGGTGAAATGTTAGATTGATAATAACGATAAGATTATTGGTTCTACAGGTTAGCCTTTGCTGAGGAGATTACCGCCCAACCAACTGATCCTAATTTAAATTAAAAATTAAGTCAAACTCAGCATTGATTTGTAGGAAGACGTCAAACTGTTTCTTTAGAATACTGAGATTATGGAAATCATAGTCGTCCAGTGAAAATTTAGTTCATTTCTTAGATACGAAATGCTGAGAAACGCAATCAACTTTGAGTTTGTACCTACCGTGGTTAACACTGACAGCCAGCTAGAATTAATGGCAAAATAATTTCACGAAGAATTTCGTGGTCCCATATTTGGAACATCACCTTGCAGTGCGCTCAGCACCAATCACTGCTGTTATCCAGGCAGAAACAAGTTTACAGATATAATTTGAAATATGTTTTCGGATTCTATACTTAAAACTAAGTATCTTAACATGTGGGGCACCTGATTGCTTTTACTAACTCAGCGCACAGTTAAAGACTTCAAGACATTAGTCACAGACTATGAGAATGCTCGCTAGTACCCATGTTTGTGAACGGTTATGTTGTTAAAGTATTCCACAACAGCTTCTCAGAGAACTACGTTGACTGGACAAATGCTTCATCGTTTATCAAGGTAGGTACTACCCAGCCATTCTAGTGAGAATAGTAACGCTTGTCGTTGTTAAAAGTATCAAGCCTCAGAACCAAACTTTACAAATGGTTTACTAAGCTGAAGTACTACCTATTCGTGCTTGTTTTTGTTGTTTGTCAACAGTGTGTCGCTCGTGCATACAATTATTTGCTACTGTTTAAAATTTCGCTTTTTTCTCTACCTCACTACATTACTTCGATGCTAAACTATTTGTATGCTTGGCTCACTATAATAAGCTGAAGAATTACACGACATTGTGTACTATTCAGACACTTGTACTGAATGAGCTCAACTGGTTTTTGTATGTTTTGCATATTTTGTAGATCATTTCATTGTGGTACATGATACCAGTCTCATAGACTGATAGAGAGTAACCGAAAGGAGAATTAATTCGGAAATCGGAATATGGGTGATAACCATGGTGTACACGGATGACATGCACAGATTTGTTTATCGTAAGATTTTTTACTTACTAAATGGGAATGGTGAGGTGAGCTAAGACGTCACTTTGTTCCTTCAGATCAACTCAAATGTTTGACGTTTGAGCTTAGCTGCATTAAACGAAGTTCATAATCATCTTTCTGACCACAGATTTTATTTGAAGTAAACAAAATTGGTAAGCTCTCTAAAACACAATGCTACAGGTATGCCCAGTATTATTGTGGAGGTTCGTCCTGCAATATCGCTTTTTAAATTTTATCCTGAACAGAAGCAAACGAATTATGTTTATTTGCTAGTTCTGCCTCAACTAGCGCAGATGGATTGTGAAACCTGAGAAGATATGCAGCAAGAAGCAGAAACTAGTTTGACGTTGCCAGAGTCTATAGAAATTCAAACAGCCATTTATAACTACCTACGGATAGAGTGGAATCATTAATGAAGTGAGAAGTTAGAATTAACCTTGATTTTATGCAGATTCGGGTTCAGATTCATATGGACTGGAACGATAAGAAAATCCCTTGAGTGTTCCTTCTTGAGCGGATCGTTGAGCCAGGAAAGGTTGACGTGCCAGGAGGTCTTGATAGATCTAANNNNGGGGGTCTCCAGGATCTGATACACCATTATGAGCTCGTTGCATAGACACCGATAAAATCACTGTACACTTTTGGAGCATTCAGCCTGAGTGCGTGCGGAAAGCGAGACAAACCTTTTACTTTCTTCGTCGCCCTGCGTTGTGCAGTACCTACTGCGGCCAGTTGGTGCTTCTGCTAATCCCGCCACGCTTGGGTGGTGTTTGCCACGTGCGTCTTCGATTACACGCCATGGATTTTCGAAAAGTATGGAGCGTCACATTTTCCCGATGCCGTACGCAGAAAGTGGTAATTCTGAACAGGTTGCCTTCACGCCTGAAATAGCCAATGTCATTCTAAACAAGCAGCCAGTGCTCGGTGTAGAAATTTGGACCCTGTAAGGTAGTCGTGGGTGTCTTAATGGCGCATGCTGCGAATTTTATACTTGGAGCTTGTTCTCGGTGGAACATGTATAAACTCTATCCACAGCAGGTTACTGTCACATGTGATCCTCTATTTTGATATCACGATGTATCTTTAGATCATCGGCGACGGTACAAAATTTGAAGCAGGTGTAGATGCTCCTATCCATACGATCACCCAGGATATTTTATGACAGTGTTTATCACGTGGTAGTGGCACGGGGAAACATCAAACCAGTATAAACCTTGTTCTTAACCAAATATTTCAAAAGTCCAAGAACGCTGAGCGACATGCTGTAAGAAAACGGCTTCATTCTTTATAAAGTCCAGATATAGATATTGCTTTTGCGGCTGAATTACCAGTAGTGCAGTATTTGCACAGTATTAAAAACCCAGAGACGTGTCGCGTTTCTCTGTAAAACCTTATACCATCAACTGTCTTTAATCGCCGTCCGCATACGGTGGTGTATACTCTCAATAGAGGTTCATCAATACTGTAATTAACTTTCTCATACATGTTTGATTGACCCAAGTAACTTGTAAGCGTTTAATGGTAGCAATTTTTGCCAAATCACCTTCCATAACCTTCTACTATTTCGTAATCAGATTGAGACTACAGTCGTCTCCAGACTATCCAAATGTTCACGTTTGCCGCTGTTTCGGCAAGTGCGACTTAATCTTTGATCGGTAACACATTGAAGTTACACATAGGAATAGTTTGCTCTGTTGATTGCGAACATGGATTCTTACATTTTCATGTGGCATTTTAGCATGTATTTAGCCATTTATAATAGTTCCTCGGTTGACAGACTGGCGACTGTCATTTCCATTAACTGAGATAACACACTAGGCCATTACACTAGGAGGATGTCTATTGGTAGAAATCGTATACTTTACGTCCTATTGCGTAGCACATAGCCTAAGTACATCAGTATTTTTGTAATAAACTGCTGAAAATTTGATTTATCGAAGCGAACCAAGTAACCCCATCTCAAGTTATGCGATGCATATCTAATTTAGCAAAATGTAATCGTTTATCCCTCATGAATGATGTCAATTTCGGTATTCTGGCAGCTGTACAATAAGTCAGTATAAAATCAATCATTTGCGCAAAATAATACGGTCAGTTCACCGATATTTGTGCACTTTTATTCAGCTAGCTTGTAATTTTTGAGCAAACTTTCTAAAGAATGATCATCTCTGCTGCGTGCTTTGCTTGGGTGATCGTTCCTTTTGTGGTCGTCATTAGTTATGTGGCGTTGAAGATGTTTTACTAATTCCGCAGTTATTACTGATTCCCTTTACCGACATACTTCCTTGGGCGAGTTCATTAACTTATCCAGCTTAGTTTAACTGTGTGGCGAACTTTTACTCAATTTTAAGACCCAGTTTTTCCAAAAGTGAAATCCTGTGGCAGTTAAACACGAGTGACTAAAGTTTAAAGTCACTCTGGGAAACAGCGGCATTTATTACGAACAAAAACGCCACTGATCCAAGCATAATAAAAGATTTATTTTCCTTAAATCCCCCAACTTTATATAGTAAATAAATTAATAAGTTGTATGTTTGTCGACCAGTCGAGAACCTGTTTCTAGAAGGGACAAATCAAAAAACTGACCAACTTTTATGCTATTGCATAAGTAGTTAAAGTCTGTGAGCACACGTCAAGTTTATTTAACACAAACTGATCCAATTTGTTTGCTTGTTCTTTGACCTGTAGAAGTGCCATTATTCTTTCTGAAACACATGACAGATATTCAGACCGAGAAGAAAAGCAATTACAGGAGCTGTGGGTCAAAAAGTTATATCCAGGTTTTCATTTGGCCCGGACACAAGTGTTTTCGTAATTCTGTCAGGCGCCATCGATACCATTCTCTAAAGCATTACCCAGAGATTGTGATATCCCAAAAGTATTTAGCGCATGTTGGATATTTAAATTTTTTTAATAGCAGACTCCAACGCGCAAAGTGTTTAACACGTCCTGATATCACTTTGAATTCTTTTCCAAATATTTCGGTAGTGGATTAAGGATTAAGATTATCTGATTCTTGTAATAAAATTGGAGTCCTTGCTTTGGTTTCCTTGTTGCTTGTTGTTTGCACACTGTTCATGAACACTTGAAAACGCTTATCCGAACTGTGTACTGTGTACTGATTTTCCTGTAAATATAGCATAGATTTAGTTTCGTTCTGCAAAGGCAGACTGTTCTAAGTGCATACTATCACAAATTCCTCTGTCTGGCAGTCTCGATGGGTAACCATATAGCTTTTTTGTCATGATGTGCTCTATGCTCTCAAGAGCACGTTGGCCATCTTTTCGCAGATTCGATTAGGCCACGATTACTAAAATCAGTTAGGGGATTCCGTGAGGTAAAATGATAGCATAGTTATCTGATGGTAATCATGCCCTTCGAAACATGAAAGTCACAATGTTCAGAAGAATTGAAAGGAATTGAATATCGAACGCTCAAGTCGTGAATTACTCTGCATTGCGAGACGTATATGTCTTGCAGTAAAGACTGTCTGACGGTGCTCGATAGAACATTACACCTTTCCTAGACGAGTGACATCGGCTGCAGTTGGCATCAGGGCTCAAGTGCAGGTAAGTCACCCTGAATGCGACATACGGTATCCTGGATATTTGCAAGTCCTTGTGAGTAAACAACGTTTATGTCGTCAGCAAACAGAAACGTAGCAACATTTTTTTAGCTGGGATAAATCGTTATCATATAGGGGAAAAGATATAGATCACAAATACTCCTTGAATTATTCCACTGGTGACTGCATTCGGCTTAGAGAAATGGTCACCAATACGCACAACGTGTCGTCCACAATTTAGATTTGAGGACAAAGCAGAAAAAGTTGGATTCACCACGCTTATTTACCTGCATCCTCTTGAGTAATCTCCGATGATGCAGTTCATCAAAGGCCTTTTGCATGCACATCAACTGGGCTATGACGTTGTTTACGGCAGTCATTCTGTGGTTTAAGAAGACCGTCTGGCAAGGTGTGCAGGATTGGCTTTGTATAAAATCTTGCTACTACTTTCCAATGATGTTTGCTTTGTTTAAGCAGATAATTAGTTAATCTCTCAATATTTTTCCATTATTCTGGATATGATAGTAGAATGATAGATGGGACGAAAGTTTTTAGCCTCCGGCGGCTTCGTTGTTGTGCCTCGAGATAAGAAGAGAAGACAATGTAGGTGTTTCGGTGTTGCTTATCCCAACGCTCTAGTTGGATGGCTTTGTTCCTCTAAAGACAATTATCCTCCAAGCTTCTCATTCTACCTGTTATTTTTGCAAAGACAGTGTTATTATTGCAAAACTTAAGTGATCAGTAAGCGCAGCTATATCCGAACAATTGAGCTGCCTACCACAAATCTGAATTCCTCAGCCCAAATTTTACATGCCCTCAGCCATTGGTTCTTTAATTAACAATCCTTATATATGCACTTAACCATTGATCGTTTTGCGTTACTCGGAAGCTGCATGATGTGGCTTTATACAACGGGATGACTAGTCTACCGCCAGTCGAATTGGATTCGAAGGAACACCCAGATGACCAACCATATACCATCTGTTGTGACTAATTTGCGCTGACGAAGATGAATGTGATTAACGGAGGATAATTCGCAGCGGATTTTAAGTCAGATAGCCCTGCACAAACTCGAAAATGCACCATGCAGCCATTTCCTTCCATTCGTTATCGGTAGTGGTGCGAATCCTTCAGACCCATGAAGAATGGAGTTCATCAAATCTCGACGATAGCGGTTTGTGCCACTAGCCAGTAGTTTAAGTCCGTAGGCCATGAAGAAGTGTGTCAGACAGTCATGATTTACCTGCTGAATACTTTGTACCGCTAAACATCCTCTACTGTCACGTAAGTTACAAGTGTTTCTGTGAAAAGCGCTGTTCACAGTACGTCACTTCTTCGACAAACATAAGTTGGAATCTATATGGATTGATAATTTGTTATACTCATCACGGTTCACCGCCTTTCCGTTTGGCTTAGTGGCCTAAACTGCTGGATAGTGGCCCAAGTCGCTACTACCAAGCG